AGTTACGAATCAGCAAGCTACAAATAAAATTGTAAAACAGTAATCAATTGTGTTAGCAAGTTTTGTTAAGCACTGTAATTACTTTAACACGTATTGTTAATTGTTGTTATCACCTAAACAAGTATTGTAAAGTGTTTATTGTACAATAAAGTTAATTGTACTGTAATTTGGTCATCTTGAGTGCTTATTTCACAATCCAGCGATACGAGCGCATTTTGGGAAATCCGTCGTCGAAACAATATTCTATGTGCCACCGCCTGCCTATAACCAGGTACGAATAGCAATAACGCGGCTGAAAAACAACATAGCTGCTGGAGCTGACAGCCTGCCAGCTGAGCTACTCAAGTACGGCGGCAAGGAGTTGATAAGGTGCATGCATCAACTCCTATGCAGAATATGGTCAGATGAACGCTTGTCCGACGACTGGAATTTAAGTGTGCTCTGCCTAATCCACAAGAAAGGCGACCACGCCATTTGCGCCAACTACCGCGAGATCAGCCTGCTAAGCATAGGTTACAAGGTATTATCGAGCGTATTGTTTGAAAGACTGAAGCCCAGCGTCAATGAACTGATTGGCCTTATCAGTGTGGCTTTAGACCTGTCAAATCCACCATAGACCAGTTATTCACAATACGCCAAATCTTGGAAAAGTCCCGCGAGAAAAGGATCGACACTCACCACCTATTTGTCGATTTTAAAGCCACTTTCGACAGCACTAAAAGGAGTTGCCTATATGCTGCTTTGTCTGAATTTGGCATCCCCGCCAAACTGATACGGCTGTGTAAAATGACGTTGAGCAATACCACCAGCTCCGCCAAAATTTTGATATACCTCCCCGAACCGGTCGCCACAAAACGGGGTTTCAGAAAGGGCGACTGCCTTTCATGTGACTTCTTTAATCTGATGTTGGAGAAGATAATAAGAGCTGCAGAACTGAACTGCTCAGGAACAATTTACTACAAGAGTGTGCAATTGCTGGCTTACGCCGATGACATCGACATCATCGGTAACAAAAACCGCGAATTCTGTTCTGCCTTTTCCAAGTTGGATAAGGAAGCAAATTGAATGAGTCTGGTGGTAAACGAGGACAAGGCGAAGTATCTCCTGTCATAAAAAAAAATAGTCAGCGCATTCGGGCCTTCGAACCCACGTCACTGTTGACAGTTTTAATTTCGAGAAAGTAGAGAATTTCGTTTACTTGGAAACCAACATTAACACCGATAATAATGTCAGCATGGAAATCCAATGCAAAATCGCTCTAACCAACAAGTGATACTTTGGACTGAGTAGGTAATTCAGGGTAAAGTCCTCTCTCGACGTACGAAAACCACATCCTAAAAGTCACTCATCATGCCCGTGCCGGTATATGGCGCAGAAGCATGGACAACATCCGATGAGGCGGGTCTTGGAGTATTGGAGAGAAAGATTTCGGGGAGGATTTACGGGCCTTTACGTGTTGGCGACGGCGAGTACCGCAGACGATGGACGATAAGCTGTATGCGCTTTACAACGATACAGACATAGTGCAGCGAACTAAAATACAGCGGCTCCGCTGGCTTGGCCATGTCATTCGAATGGACACTGACGTTCCAGCTCTGAAAGTATTCAAATCTGAACCCACTGGTGGTAGCAGAGGAAGAGGGAGGCCCCCCACTGCGATGGAAAGATCAAGTGGAGAAGGACTTGGCTTCACTTGGCGTCTCCAATTGGCGTCAGTTGGCACAGAAGAGAAACGACTGGCGTGCTTTGTGGAACTCGCTTAGGCGGTTTCAGTGCCAAATAAGAAGAAGAAGAATCGAAACAATAAGAATAATAGAGTCGTAGTTACGGTGACCACAAATATATTATTAAAAAAATTTACCTACATATAATTGTGTAGTATAAAAATAACAAAAATATATTACATACATATATACATTCCTCGTCATTTGAATAGCGCACCCTTTTTTGATTTTCTTCCAGACAAAGTATGCTTGACAAAATTTTTACATGGAAGAAAATGTGCAGCACCGTCAACAAAAAAAATTGCCGCCCCTATGTTGATTTTTTTTTTAATTTTCAAAAATTATTAAAATCGGATTTAGACGTATAATATGCTATATTTTTTATAAAAAATTAATGAATATTAAACAAACAAAAGGAAAACTGTAACTAGTAAGTATTAAAAGAGTGCGCTTTCAAATAACGAGGAGTGTATATTTCTTAATTATTAATGTAATTTTAAACTTTAAACATAAATCACATTTGCTTCATTGGTATTACTCTTTTTGTAATGAATATTTACAAAATTATAATAAGGCATATTACATATTACCTTACACGAAATATGAACCTCTGTAAAGCAAATTTTTTAGGCAAACTTTGGGTCGTTGAACACGAAAATAATACCCATGGTTTCAAAGAAGTGTTCTCGAGATTTGTTCGAAAAACGTATTTTTAGTACTTTTTTCAGTTAATCGTCAATATCACATGAAACGACCTACAGCTCGAAAGGTATTGATGGGCCCTTTGCAAAAGTATATAATTTGTGCAGATTGTGTTCCGTAACATCTACATTTCTCATCAGATTTTCATTTACTGTAAAAATAAAATGATTGAAATTTCAATTTTTTCGATTTTGGTCGCTTGTAACACTAATCATTTTCATCAAAATCGGCAAAGTAATATATTTTTGTAAGAGGACTGTAGGTCGCTTATGTTGATTGAATAATTTTTTCATGAGATATTGACGAATGGCTCCGAAATGTACCAAAAACACGTTTTTCGAAAAAATTGCGAAAACGCTTCTTTGAAAAGAAAATTGGCTTGGAAAACTTTTTTTTTTTCTTAAGCGATTACCACAAAATTTGTAGAACAGTGTTATTGATATATTTGATGCTGGTCTTCGTTTTCTCATCATCCATTGCCCATAACCGTACAAAATTGAGAACGCATTGACTGGTTCAACCAGCTTAACCTTATTTAGTTATCAATTAGTTATCGACGCTGCTTTTATTTCGATTAGGAAAAGCTAATTTTAAATTATCGAAGAAAATGCGGGACAAAGGCAGGACACTTAAAAAAATCAATACATTTTGGGGGTTTTCTGTTTTGAAAAACTACGCCGGACAGACCTTTAAATAACAGTACGGTCCTGCAAAAAACAGAACGGATGGTCACCATAGTCATAGTAGATGCCCCAGACAGTCAAAATTTTAAATCATGTAGATCCTATTCTGCTGAGTGCCAGTGTAGCACAGAAACTCTTCCTGGAACAAGCACACTTATCACCGTTATACATAGTACTAAATTTTTTCCTTTAAAAGAACACAAATTTTACTCTAGGTAAGATTAAAACGTGATAGATTCTAATTGTGGCAGATGTGGTAGATCTACCACAATCGTAGTGTAGTCCGACCACTGGTAATCAACGGGACAAAAAAAAATTTATCTAGTGAAGAAGACTGTTGCGCAATACGCAAACGCAACTACATAAATATATATATTTATGTGCATACGACTATCTACATATATATGTCCATATGCATGTACATAATTCAGTAATTTGTTCACACAGTTTGAATATGCCGTACGCACTTAACGCTTGTCACATACTAATCGTGTTGACATTACTCATGGTCAGCTGCGCTTGGTTGCAAATTTACAACTTCAACTTTCGTCTTCACTTGACGGCATTGAACTTCTGTGAACCTTTAAAACTTGCAGCGCATGTGAAGTGGATGATGAGCCTACTTTTGCAGAAAGCGAAAAAAGTGTATAATTCGGTGCTTTGGAAAAATAATTTCAAATACATATACATACATATGTATACATCTATACAGAGATAATTAGTTTGAATTTGGTATAAGCGCTTTTAAGTTTTACCTGCTTTCGGCCAGTTGAACTTAGCCAAAAGCTCGGAAAATTTTTAATACGCGCCGCCTATTGGTTAATTTGACAAGCAAGGCTTTTAGCTTCAAATCTAAAGCTGATCAAAGTACGAGTATTCAGATTGGGCTATGGCTTGAATAAAACTTTCGTAAATATGTCATTTTGTATAACACTCGCTATCATTTTGTGGTTTTTGCTGTTGCCTAAATCAGTTTGTCTATCAATCCTTATAAGTGGTCAAGCTCAACTAACGGTAAGCCCAGGTAAAGCGATGTTTGCAGACTCCACTTTGTTGGCTGATTTCTCAGGTTTTAGCAGTGAGACCACTCTCCCAAACTTCCGAAATGTCAGGAATATGAACTCCAAGCAGTCAACAACGCGCCGCGATGGCAGAAACTTCCATAGTCTCTCAAGGCGAATGACTGTTAAGGCTTTTGTCTTCCCAAGAGCTTACATCCTCGCTCATTTTATTTCTAATGTGTATCAGACATATAAAAAGGGGCTTTAAATCTAACTAGTTGAGAGAACATATAGAAATTGGTTTCTGATTTATGACTAGGTCAACGAAATTCACCTGTAATACCTGAGAAGAACATGAATCCACTTCGAATTCCCTTTTCGGACCGTAAGCGGAAGTGCATAGTTTCCCTTATTCTAAAAAATAAAAGATCTTTTCTTTAGAAAAATGTGTTTTTTTGACTGATCGAGAATTTCTGTCCATTCTTTCAGCGGCATTATGTATAAAACATTCACTGAATTTGTTTTCTAATTTTCTAATCGCACACGATTTGACGGTGCTTACCGGACCGAACAGCTTGTTTGTTAAAACAACTGTATTGAGCATTTCCTTACGTATTTAGATTCCACAGATACGATGAGAACGTATGTAGCTTAGAGGGATCTTACGAAACAACGCTTTTCTGAGTCGTTTACCGGTATCTGATCGTTATTTCATTTATTGAAGCTTCTCTGATTTGCGATGGTTGAAGATGACAGCAATTTCTTTCGAGACTATTAAGATAATAAAACCTTCATTTCGAAAAATTGTTGCATGTATTTGACTAAAACCTTTTCACAAGTTTTAAATTAGTTTTACAAGTTATCTTGCATGTAATAACTGCACTTTCTTGGTCACTCATATATTAAGTCACGTTGAGACGACTAACTCTTCCACCATCCAGCAGAGCTACTAGCGGCCGAAGCACTACCTGCAGCATGTCCATATCCAACATTACCACCAGATCCGCCATAACTTCCCAATCCAGCACCAAAGTCATGCGATAATCCATAACCACCTGAACCACTGCCATAGAGACCAACACCGCCGCCATTACCACCGCCTAACGAACCATGGTTAACCGAGTATTGTTGATTGGCAGGAAGGCCCCAACCGGCATTTGAACTAGCAGAAGCTCCTGCACTGGAACTCGCGCCACCACCATAAGACAAACCGCCGCTACCATAGCCGCCATAGCCAGCACCATTTCCGTAGGAGTTTAAGCCACCACTGCCTAAGGAATTTCCAAGCGCCGAACCGCTGCTGTATGTTGAAGAGCTATCGCCATGACCAGAGCTGTACAAGCTAGCTTTTCTACTGCCACCATATCCGCCAGTGAAACCACTGCCTCCTCCATAGCCGCCAATCCCAATTGATGGACTACCACTTTTCCAACCGCTGCTACCAAGCCCACCACGGTAAGAACGACCAACACTTACGTAAGTGGCCGCAGGCGCGCCAACTGATACAAATGTCGAATGGGACCCGCCCCCCAATCCCGAACCGGTGCTCAAGGTTTTACGGTAGACGTGTGATACACCCCCGCCGACACCACCACTTTTTCCATAACCACCAGCCCCACCGTAAACGCCACCGCCACCCCCAGATGAATGTGCAAATCCGCCCGCGCTGGCGTAACTAGAAGATCCAGCAAAGCTACCGCCAGTGTTGCCACCATAGCTACCACCACTGCGTGGTAGATAACCACCACCTGCGCTGACTGCCGCCAAAGAGGCTAAAATGCAGAAGAAAATCTAAAGGAAAAGGGAAAAATTGTTTAGTCCTTACTGCGTTGAAACTTTATGCCGAACTCACTTTCATAGTACCGTTGCTTCAAAGACTGCTCTACTGAAAATCAAATGTGTAATTGTTGGAAATTAGTAGGACGGCATTGATTTTTATAGAGGAATATTTTTTTTTTTCGAAAACATATTAATGATGTTCTACAGAATTTCGTAAGAGTACAAACAGCCAAAAATTCATACCCAAAAAAGGAGAAAATAACTTCAAAAAGAATCATTTCTTAAAATAGAATTAAACTTGAATAAGTATCGTGTACTTCTTGCTGCTATCAATTTCCTTATTCCAAATACTGGAATTAGTTTTATTTTTTGCAAGGTTCAATTTGCTTCATTTAATTATTGGTATTGTCCGTTTCGGAATACCCCAAATTGGCGTTAATTTGACTACACTTATCTTGTGTGTATGTATGTACTCAACAATGGATCATCATCCGTCATTACTTGGTTATGCACATATCGCTGACACAATAAGCGCGGATCATCCTTTGCCGCAACCGTTTTTATAAGCTTTTATTTAATATTTCGATTCTGGGCCATTAGATTTCCGTATACAAATTCACGACATCCCTGCAGGAAATACATTTCATTGAGGTTAGCCATCAGAGCTCCCATTTCCATTTAAAATTTTCTAAATTCAAGGGCCGAAAATAACCGTAAAATATTATTTCATTATTAAATCATTACAAATTGTATTTTTTTTTATAATTTCGATCAGGAATAACGTTAAATTTAGATATTTCAGTCAAGCTAAAACGTTATTTTTTATATTCAACAATTTTTATTAAGTTCGAGGCCGTTTTTTAATGAAAACTTATTGTGGAAAAGCAACAATAATTTGAAAAAATGGTAAAAGTGATAGCTATTTCGGAAATCAACACATTTCCTCATCAGACTTCTTTCAGTAGGATTCGAACCGACTCAGCCAGTTGCCAGTTGTCAGTGGGATCGTCGGCTCGAATCCTACTGAAAGAAGTCTGGTGAGTAAATGTGGTGATTTCCGAAATAGCTATCACTTCTACCATTTTTTCAAATTATTGTTGCTTTTCCACAATAAGTTTTCATTAGAAAGCGGCCACGAGCTCAATAAAACTGATTGGGTCGCCAAAAGAAAGATGCATATTCTAACCTAGAGTAGAGCGATTCCTAAACAACCTAGTACTATGCCGAACGAATGTAAGCATAGCATAAGCTTTGGGAATGACATAATTAATATTAGTTGAAAAAGTTAGTTTTGAATTAAAGAAAACTCCTAAATATTTAATCTCCATGACAGATTTAAGGTCATAGCCACCAATATTATAATTAGTTTGAACAGGAAGAAGCTTTCTGGTGAAACTGGAATAGGAGCATTTGTTAACCACGAGTGCAGGTTATCAGATCAGATTGCAACAACATAGAATCATATTAATTAATTACCGATCACAGAGTAAACCTTGAGATGGTCCGCATATACATAATAAGTATGTACTTCGACGATAAAAGCATTACGCAACCTCATTTATGAATATTGCAAATAATAGAGGACCTAAAATACTACATTTGGGTACACCCGATGCAGCTACAAAACGGGTGACAAATATATTATCAATGGCAACTGTGCACTGCCTTCGGAAAGGCAGAAACACAATCCTCTATTTTGTCAGCAAAGTTGGACACAGTTGACCTGCCACTTATAAAACCGTGCTGATAAAAAGAAATCAAATATTATACTATTAAACTCAACCTTTTTTTACAACTGACTCGAAAACTTTGGAGCAGTATCTAATTTGGATATGGACCTATAGTTTCTAAACAACATTATTGTTGCCACATTTATAAATCTGTGTGATGAAAGCATTTTTCCAGTCGTCAATAAAATAACTGTCCGAGGGAGACTTGTTGAACAGTATTGCTAATGGCTGAACAAGAGAAAGGTACCTTTTGAGATTAGCAGCTGAAAGGCCATCAGAATCCCATTTCAAGAAGGGTTTTAAGGAAAATATGGCTCCTTACACGTCCTTATCAAAAGCGTGTGCTGTGCCAAAATTAAGGACAGACTTAGGACAGACCTTCAAAAGAAATATCTGAATCGGACACATATTTTCACACTACAAAAATGTCCTATATTTGAGAATCGGGCGATTTCCTCGCTAAGACTTTTGAAATGTCCATTTGGTAGAAGATTTCGAACACTATCACAGGTGGAGACCAAAATATCAGGGTTGAAATTT